TCCATTACTCCATGAATGGATCAATCCATCACTAGGGCACAGTCATCATAACCTAATCACCTCTTAAAGGCCCCACCTTCCACTACCATATGGGGGGTTAAGTTCCAACATGAGCTTGGGGGACATTCAAACCACAGCATATACTGTCCAACATCTTATCCAGAGGTGAAAAGAATACATTCTTAAGTCCTTGGCTGTTGTCAAATATGTAGTGTCAGGTACCACATTAGGTACTAAGGATCTAAAGGTTGACAAGGCCCTGTCCTGTCCTCAAGGAATTCAATCTGATAGAGTAGAAAGATACACAGACCGAAAAAACCCCCCAAAAAACCCATAAACATAATAGGTAAAACACGAAAAATATGTACAAGGTATATGTGCGCAATTACAGAGCACTTAAAGGAAGAAGGTGGGGAGAGAATGGATATAAAGAATGGCAGTAAGCAAGAGAGTTTTGGGCTGAAAGGAGGAACTTTCTGTGTAGATGGGACAGGACAGTACAAGTAGAAGAACTGCATCGTGTTCATAAGCAGCTAGCTGTTGCTCTTCAAATTAAATTACCATGAGAAGCAATGGCAATCACGGATTCATCAGGCTCACGCTCCAGTTCTCTCTCTGCTTGGAGCATAGAAGAAAAGTGACCCCTTCAGGAAAAGTAAACATCCAGCACTCTGAAAATTACAGGGAGAAGGACTCAAGAGGAAGATATACTCATATAAGGCTTCTTGCTAGTTTGTTTGAGGTAATTTTTAAAAGTCAAAGGATATGACCAAATTTACACAAGTTTACGACACAAATCATACCTCTTACCTGTTGCTTTAGGACCTTATTTTCCTCATTTACTATACCTAAAGTATTTTACCTTGCCATTTAATGGTCTTATAAAACATAATTTTTGTTGAATACCAAGTATTCTGCTATAGGAATAGACCATAATTTATTAAGCCGGTTGCCTATTGTTGGCCATTTATATGGTTTATAACTTTTCCCCTTAAGTATCTATCATTGTAATGGACATTTCCATGCATAAATCTTTGCACACATCCCTGATTATTTCATTAAAACAAATTATTAGAAGTAGAATTATAGTCAAAGGATGTGCAAGTTTTAAGTCTTTTGATAAAATTACCAAACTGCCCCCCAAAAAGGTTACATCACCTTGCACTACTACTACCAGCAGTGTATCCTCGTTTTACTGTAATTTTGCCAAGAATGGGTTATTATTTATAAACTCTACTAGGAGGCAAAAAAAAAAAAAAGTTACTTTAATTTGCATTTCTTATACTACTAGTGAGGTTGAACTCTTTTCAAGACGATTGGCCACTTTCATCTCATTTCTGTAAACAAACTATTTTACCTTTTTCTCTTTTTTCAACTGAGGTATTTATCTTATTCTTGTTAATTTATAAATACCACTTACATTTGCTGCAGTTATTTTTCCCAGTTTTTTTTTTTTTTGTCCTTTTTGAGACCGTCCACACCGTGCTCAGCCAGTGAGCACTGTGAGCACACCAGCCATCCCTATATAGGATCCGACCCCGCGGCGGGAGCGCTGCTGTGCTCCCAGCGCCACACTCTCCCGAGTGCGCCACGGGCTCGGCCCAATTTCCCAGTTTTTAATTAAAGGACTTTGATCACTTTTGCCACTCTGTGAAAAACAAATTTGAGGAGAAATTAGAGAATTAGAGAAATCAGTTAGGATATCACTGCAGTAATCTAGGAAAGAGATTAAATGAACTTGAACTAGAGGAGCAAAATCAAGAAAAAAGAGAGCCTAATGAATTGGATGCAGGGAGAAATAAAAAATATTGAAACAAGAATGATTCCTATGTTTTTAGCACAGGTGTATAAGTGGATAGTCATACCTCTGAGATACAGAAAATCAGAAGAGAAAGATTTTTTTTTTTTTTTTTTTGTCTTTTTCCGTGTCCGGCAACGGATCGCAACCCTCAGTGTCGCCCCCGTACCGGACCGGGACCGGCAATGGGATCACAGCCCTCGGTGTTGCGCCCGCGCCTCGTTCAGCCAGTGAGCGGGAACCGGTCTGTATGTGGGATCCGAACCCTCGGCGGGAGCGCCACCGCGCTTCCCAAGCAGCGCACTATAGCAGTGCGCCACCGGGCCAGCCCAGAAGAGAAAGATTTTGAAGGAAGAATGTTAAGTTCAATTTTGGACATGTAAAATTTGAAGTGCCTGTAGGACATCCAACTGTTAATGTCTGAAGCTCAGTGTGGGGTCTGGTCTGAGAATTTGGGAGTTAGTTATGTAAATTATACTTGAAACCATGAGCGTGTAGAGTGTGAAGAGTAGCAGGCTGAAGACAGTACTTTGTGGAGCACCAATACTTCAAGAACAACTGGAAGATGCCCATGAAGGAAAAACGGAAGGAATGGAGAGAGAAATAAAAGGAGTCACAAGATAATAGTGTTATCAAGTCAAAGTAGCGGGGAATCTCATGGAATTGGCATTAAAGATGAAGAGATTTAATGAACATAGTCTTGAATCATGACAGAAAATAAGGGTTTTTAAGCAGCAGAGATGGCAGCCGTATGGAGGAAAGCTTATCTTTGATGGTTTCAGTATTTTTTTTTTTTTTTAAGTTTTATGTTGGCTTATGGAAGGGATCAAAAGGTCAAGAATGGGAATTAATAAAAATGACCAAGCACTGTTTGTAAACATATATGCTTTGTTATATATGTCGAAGGTAGCAATTACAGCCTCAATTATACAAAGTAAGGGTGATGGTTCATCTTCCTCCTTAATAACCTTTCAGAAGATTCTTTTTTAAACCCTGGCTTCTTTTACACTAGAAGTCTCTGAAAAAAAAGGTGCAAAGGAAAACATGAATAATAAAGTAATCACAAACACCAAATCATTCTAGTTGACGCATTTCACAATTTTAAGACAAAGCTTCATTTATTCACTCAACAATTACTTGTTAATAATCTACTTTGATAAAAAATTATTAAGACCAGCCCCGTTGATAAGGACCCCAGTCTAGGAGTAGTGAGAAAAGGCATATAAACAAATCAGTGAGAGATACTACCGGTAAAAGAGAATTATTTTAAAATACCAATTATGCCTGAGGGTGAGGGAGGGTTAAGAAAAGCCTCACAGAGGGGTCAGGTAAACTAATCTTGAAGCTCTATCAGGAAATTGTAGCTGGGGGTAAGGGGATACAGGGAACATTGCTGTCAAACAGCACAGTATGTTGAGGAAACCATAAGCAGTTTGGTAAAGATGACTGCATTCCTATTCCAGGTTTAGGTGGAAAGGGCCAGGAGTTTATTCATTCTTATAACAATCCATTTAACTGATAAAAGGAACTAAGACACTTGGCCAAGTTCACATAGCTAAGCGACAGAGCTGAGACTGGACTCCAACCACACTGGGACACGGCTGCTCTTAATCACTTCTCTGTGGTGCCTCTCCAGTTAACACTGAAAACGTTGACCATGAAGGGTCTGGATGTGGTTTGTACATATGCAATAAGGAATCTGCTTTTTATCCTGAAGCTAAGAGAACAGAATTTTAATGAACAGCAGCAGAATGTTGTGACTGACTCATGAAGTAAAGGGAAGTGAAATCATCGAGCACTGGGAGAAAAGGGGAGATCAATTTCTTAATGTGGCTAGAGGTAAAAGTAGAATAAGAGAAGCAGAATGACACTGGGCTGTGGCTTCAAGAAAGATGATGAAGTTGAAAGCTTTAGAGGTAGGTATTGACAATGTCAAGGGGATGGCCAATTTAGAATTTATCAATTCATTCCACAAAAATACAAATGGAAAATTTTGGGAGTCGGAGGGAGAGGTGTATCACACATTATTATGACTGTTTTAAAAGAAAAGGAAAAATTCCTGTTTAAAAAAAAAAACAACTCATGACCCATTTTAAGTGTTATCACCAATCTGAGATGACAGGAAATACACAATGGGATAATTCACGTCACAGCATGTGTAGAAATCCCAGGAGTTAACGATAAGACAATAAATTTGAAATATTTAACAGATGAAGAACGAACTTATAACCTTTTCTGCATTAACACTCACTATGGCATTTCCTGTAACTATATCTTCTTAAAAAATAACAGAAGTCAGACAGGTATGACTGTATTTTATATATATCTCACACTATTTCTCATAAATTACTTTCCCCATCAGAAATAAAAAATGGGACAAGGCTCAAAACAAAATTTTCCAAATATGTTTTTGTACAAAATGACTTCTTCACCATAAACAATAAAAAAGGAAGACCTCACGTGGTACACATGAAGAGAACAGCTTGAACTGTAGTAACTACCACCCAGATTAAGAAACAGAACAGTAACACACCAGAAGCCCAGCTGCACAACATTCAGTCACTACTCTGCCCTTCTTCAAAAGTAATTGCTATTCTGACTTCTAAAACCATAGGTTAGTATTGCCTGTTTTTGAGCTTTATATAAATGTAAATATACAGTATGTATTCTTTTGTGTCTGGCCTCTTTCTAAAATTTACCCATGTTGAATGCAGCAGTGGTCTGAGAGTTATCATTGCTGATAATATGCCATTGTATGATTGGAACACTATCCATTCTACTTTGAATTTTGATGAACATCTGTATTATTCTCAGTTTTGATTTACTGTGAATATAGCTGGTAAGAACATGATTGCACATTTTTTTGGCACATATATTTATACAGTATACTCTTAGGAATACAATTGCTGTATCATAGATTCTGCCAAACAGTATTTTAAAGTGATTATATCAATACTCCTATCAGCAGTAGAGTTCCCAGTGTTCCTCATTTAATCAACACCTGGTACTGTTGGTCTTTTGAATTTTAGACAGTCTGGAAGAGTATAGTAGTATCTCATTTTTGCTTTGTATTTGCATTTCTCTGAAGACTAATAATGACAACCATTTTTTCAAATACTTAGTAGCCACTTGGAGATATTCTGTGAGGTAACTGTTCAAGTCTTTTGCCCATTTTCTCCTGGTTTATCTATCCTTACCTTACCAATCTGTAGGAGTTCTTTACAGAGTTCACATCAGGGGTTGGCAAACTTTTTCTGTAAAGGGCCAGACAGTAAATATTTCAGCTTCATGAGCCTTAGCGTCTCTGTCACAACTACTCAACTCCTGTTTCGCAACATGAAAGCAGCCACAGTCAATATGTAAGTGAATGAGCATGGCTGTGTGCCAATAAAACTTTAGCTGTAGTTTGCCAACCCTGCTCTAGATAAAGACCTTTGTCAAGTTACATACAAGTCTTGTCAAGAGTTTAACAATGTTCACGTTCTTTACGAAGAATCAACTTTTGGCTTTGCTGACACTCTCTGTTTTGAATGTTTGTTTTTTATTTCATTAATTTTTGCTCTTGTTATTATTTCCTTTCTTCCATTTCTTTGGTTTTAGTTTGCCATTTGTTTTTTAGGTTTTTGAGATGAATATTTAAATAACTGATTTCTGAGCCTTTCTTCTTTTCTAATATATGTACATACGCTATAAATTTCCCTCTAAGCATCCCACAGTTTTGATAGGCCATATCTCTCCTAAGTCACATTATTTCCTAATTTTCATCACCATTTCTTTTCTGACTCATAGTTTATTTCAAAGTGATTCACTTAATTTCCAAACACAAGAAGTTACAAAGTTACCTCTCCCCCCCAAAAAAACTTTTTTTCTAATTAGTTCCAACCTTAATTCTACAGTGGTCAAATGTGCAGAATTTCAATTCTTTTAAATTTAAGATTGGCTCTATGGTCAGTATATGACATATTTTGAGAACTGTTTCATAAGCAGTTATAAAAATAGAGTTTATTCACTTGTTTGGTGCAGTTTTACAGAAACATTTAGCTCAAGATTGTTAATCACGTTGCTTAGTTATGTTTATGGTTTTATTTCGTCTATATTTGTTTTGGTCTGCATATCCTATCAGTTACTAAAGTGTGAAAATCTACAACTATGATTAAAGTTTTGTTTAGTTCTCTTTGTTGGTCTGTCAGTTTATGCTTTTCATATTTTAAGATTATATTATGAGGCATATACATATTTTAAATGTTTTTATTTTCCTGTTAACTCTTTTTAAAAATTATTTTAAATTTTTAGTTTTTAAAAATTTATTTTGTAATTGGCAAATAAAAAGTATATATTTTTATGCTGTATGACATGATATTTTTTTTTCCCCCTTTTTTGTCTTTTTTCGTGACCGGCAACGGATCGCAACCCTCAGTGTCGTGCCCGTACCGGACCGGGACTGGCAACGGGATCGCAACCCTCAGCGTTGCGCCCGCACCTCACTCAGCCAGTGAGCAGCCGGTCTGTATGTGGGATCCGAACCCTTGGCGGGAGCGCCACCGCGCTCCCAAGCGGCGCCGCGCTCTCAAGCGGCGCACTGTAGCAGTGCGCCACCGGGCCGGCCCTGACATGATATTTTGATACACATATACACTACAGAATGGCTAAATCAAGCTAATTAACAAATCTATTACCTCACATACTTATTTTTTTGTGGTGAGAACATTTAAAATCTATCCTCATAGCAATTTTCAAGTACAGTCATTTTCCACGTTTTTTTTTTTGTCTTTTTCCGTGTCCGGCAACGGATTGCAACCCTCAGTGTTGCCCCCATACCGGACCGGGGACCGGCAATGGGATTGCAACCCTCGGCGTTGCCCCTGCGCCTCGCTCAGCCAGTGAGCGGGAACCGGTCTGTATGTGGGATCCGAACCCTCGGGCGGGAGCGCCGCCGCGCTTCCCAAGCGGCGCACTTATCCAGTGCGCCACCGGGCCGGCCCCCGATTTTCCACATGTTTTGGTCAACAATGGACCACATACATATACAACAGTGGCTACACCAGATAGCCTAGGTGTGTAATAAGCTATACTATCTAGGTTTCTGTAAGTACACCCTATGACATTCACACGACGATAATGAAATTGCCTAATGATGCATATTTCAGAACATAACCCCTGCTGATAAGCAACACATGAACATATGTAATATACTGTTATTAACTATAGTCACCATGTTGTACAACAGATCTCTTGAGTTTATCCCTCCTACCTAACTGAAATTTTGTATCCTTTCACCAGCATCTCCCCAATATACACCCCACCATCCACATTCCCTTCCCAGCCTTTGGCAACCATTCTGCTCTCTGCTTCTACGAGCTTAACTTTTTTAGATTCCACAAATAAGTGAGATCATGTAGTATTTGTCTTTCTGTACTTGGCTTACTTCACTTACTGTAATATCCTCAAGGTTCATTCATGTTGCTGCAAATAACAGGATTCCTTTCTTTCTTAAGGGTGAATAGTATTCCACTGTGTACATACACTACATTTTCTCTATCCATTCATCCACTGATGAACTCTTAGGTTGATTCCATGTCTCGGCTATTGTGAATAATGCTGCAATGAACATGCAAGTGCAGATATCTCTTCAAAATACCGATTTCATTTCCTTTGGATATACAAGGGGACTTCAAAAAGTTGATAAAAAATTAAAAGATAAAAATAAAAATATGAAAATTACTTCTCAACACAATACATATAAACCACATTTTCTTTATCCATTCATCCACTGATGAATACAGGTTGATTCTATCCACTTGGCTATTGTTAATAAAGCTGCAATGAACATGAGAGTGCAGATATCTCTTCAAAATACTGATTTCATTTCCTTTGGATATACAAGGGGACTTCGAAAAGTTAATAAAAAATGGAATTAAAAGACAAAAATAAAAAATATAAACTTTACTCCTCAACATAAGCTCCATCAAGTTCAAGACACTTTTGCAGGCAATGATACCAGCTATTTAGTCCATCCCTAATGAACTGAGGGTCCCGGCAATTTAACCATGTCAATACGGTCTTTATTACACTATTAACAGAAGAAAAATGAGCACCTTTTAAAGAATTTTTAAGATTAGGAATAAAAAGAGTTAAAAGGAGCCAAATGAGGACTGTAAGATGGATACCTGATGATTTCCCACTGAAACTCTTGCAAAATTGCCCTTGTTTCATGACAGCAATGAGCAGGAGCATTGTTGTGGTGAAGGACTCTCCGGTGAAGCTTTCCTAGGTGTTTTTCTGCTAAGCCTTTGGCTTGCTTTCTCCAAACACTCTCATAATAAGCAGATGTTATCGTTCTTTGGCTCTCCTGAAAGTCAACAAGCAAAATGTCTTGAGCATCCCAAAAAACTGTCGCCATGACCTTTGCTCTTGACCAGTCCACTTTTGCTTTGACTGGACCACTTACACTTCTTGGTAGCCACTGCTTTGACTGTGCTTTGTTGTCAGGATCATACTGGTAAAGCCATGTTTCATCTCCTGTTACAATTTTTTAAAGAAATGCTTAAGGGTCTTAATCCCACTTATTTAAAATTTCCAATGAAACCTCTGCTCTTGTCTGCAGCTGATACGGGCACAACAGTTTTGGCACCCATCAAGCAGAAAGTTTGCTCAACTGCAATATTTCAGAATTGTGTAAGCTGAACCAATTGAGATGTCCATGGTGTTGGCCACTGTTTCTACTGTTAATTGTAGGTCCTCTTCAACTAGTGCAGAAACAAGATTAATTTCTTCCTCACAAATTGATGTGGATGGTCTGCCACCAAGGGCTTCATCTTCAACATCCTGTCTCTTCCTAAAATGAGTTATTCATTTGTAAACTGCTGATTTCTTTGGGGGCACTGTCCCCATCAACTTTTTGTAAAGCATCAATGATGTCACCATTCTTCTTACCCAAGCTTCACCATAAATTTGATGTTTGTTCTTGCTTCAATTTTAGCAGAATTCATGTTGCTGTTATAAAGGCTCTTTTCAAACTGATGTATTAACCTTCTTAGTGCCTCAAACTAGATCTTGTTCAGACATGTTATAACAAGTTAGTAAAAGTTTATTTTGGTGCAAAAAAATTTAGGATCCATGCATAGTTTTTTTCATGATATCCATTTTCCATGAACTTTTTGAAAAGCCCTCATACATCCAAAAGTAGGATTGCTGGATCATATGGTAGTTCCGTTTTTAATTTTTTGAGGAACCTCATACTGTTTTCCATAATGACTATACCAATTTACATTCCCACCAACAGTGTACAAGGGTTCCCCTTTGCTCCACATCCTTGCTAACACTTGTCTCTTGTTTTTTTTTATAATATGTAGCCATCCTAACAGGTGTGAGGTGATATCTCACTATGGTTTTAACTTGCATTTCCCTGATGATTAGTGATGCTGAGCATTTCATATACCTATTGGCCATCTGTATGTCTCCTTCTGAGAAATGTCTTTTCAGGTCCTTTACCTATTTTTCACATCAGGCTATCTGTTTTCTTACTATTGAATTTTTTTAGTTCCTTATATATTTTGGATATCTACTCCTCATCAGATATATGGCCTGCAAATATTTTCTCCTATGCCATAGGTTGTTTCTTCACTATTGATTGTCTCCTTTGCTGTGCAGAAGATTTTCAGTTCAATGCAATCTCATTTGTCTATTTTTCCCTTTGTTGCCTGTGCTTTAGGGGTCATATCTGAAAAATCTTTGCCAAAACCAATGTCAAGAAGCTTTTACCCTGTCCTCTAGTAATTTTAGTTTCAGGTATTATGTTTAAGTCTTTAATCCATATTGAGTTAAATTTTGTATATGGTATGAGATAAGTGTCCAGTTTCATTCTTCTGCATGTGGCTAGCCAGTTTTCCCAGCACCATTTACTGAAGAGACTCTTTTCCCTATTGTTTATCTATTTTCCCTATTATGTTTCAAGAGAAACAGGACGGATCTGCATGACTTTTTATCACCTTCAGAAGTCACACATATCACTTCGCCATATACTATTAATCCAATTACCTCCAAGCCAAGGGCAAATGACATAAACCCCATCACCCACTGAGGGGATGGCCGAAGCATTTGGGGGCCATGTTTTAAAACTCCCATACCTCTTGCAGCAATTCCTGGATATATCTCTTCTTATTTGAATGTTTATTCCAAAAGTGGTTCTGGTGTGTCCTTGTGTAGCTAACCTTCTGAGGTCTTACAAGATGAGAATTTTTATTATGCCTCACATTTTGGATGCATATAAATTCTATGTGGATTCAAGGTCCTTTTCCAATAACACTTTAAAAACATTACTCTAGTTTCTTGACATCAGATTTCTCAAATCAGTACTAGATGCAATCGAGTTCTTATCCTTTTGCAGGTGATCTGTTCTTTCTCACAAGAAGCTTTCAGAATTTGTCTGGGATATTATTATGTGTTACTGCAAATGGGTATAAGGGTGGGTCATTCCTTCTCTCACCTATTTAGTAATCTATAATGCCTTCTCAGTCTAGGGCCTTTTACAAGTCTTTAATTCTGAGAAATTTATCTTAATTATTTCTTCAAATATGTATTTCCCTCTTCCTTTTTTTCATCCCTAAGACTCTTACTTATCTGGAACGAAGCCCTTCTACATCTACCTCTCATACTTCTTGGATTTTACTCGTGTTCTCTGTCTTCACCACTTAATTCTACATTCTCTGAGAATTCCTCAGTGTCATCTTCCAACTCATGAGTTTGTTCATCAGCCTTCAACTATCATCCAGACTGGTTTATTCTTTATTTTTACTGCATTTTCATACATAATATTTTTTTTTTTCCTTTTTGTCTTTTTTCGTGACCGGCAACGGATCGCAACCCTCAGTGTCGCACCCGTACCGGACCGGGACCGGCAACGGGATCACAACCCTCGGTGTCACGCCCGCACCCCGCTCAGCCAGTGAGCGGGAACCAGTCTGTATGTGGGATCCGAACCCTCGGCAGGAGCGCCACCGCGCTTCCCAAGCGGCGCACTGTAGCAGTGCGCCACCGGGCCGGCCCCATACATAATATTTCTACTTGGTCTTGTTCTTGCATTATATTGTTAATACCTTCCTTAACTCCTTAAATACTTTTATCACGTTTATATTAAGTTCTTGATCAATCTGTTCCCATTATTCTCCATGAGACAGTATATGTTATTTACTTAGTTGCCTTTGAGAGTAATTGTACTATTCTGGTGACTAATTTGGCTATAAAGTAATGCTTGTCTGGTAATATGTATGGTAAAAGGGCTACAGGCCATACCATAATTGTATCTGAGCTGGTGAACTTAAGAAAAGGGGAGATGGGCTCCAGAGCAAAGAGCCCCAGCGATCTCAGAACCACTACTGTTTACTACAATTTGCTGGACATTCCACAGGCAACAGTACTGGTCAGGGTTTTCACATTTAAACTCTTAGGGAGAAGAAGGACTGTGAACAGAGACTTTTATTAGATAGAAATCTACCAATCCGGTAGTTTGGAGAGGGTGAGGAGAAGAGGTAGAAAGATGACCCCTTAAGGGCAGCTAGTCAGGCCATACCTGTTTACATCAATGCCATCAAAGGTCCAGCAGATTTTTTGAATGCACATTGACGTATGAACCATTGCTGCTCATTTCTGTGGTGAAGGGACAGGCAAAGACAATCTCAAGGCAACACCAGTGAGAAACAACAATAGAACCTAACCTTATTCCAACCTATTTTCTCATTGCCACGTCTCGAACTCCTTAGTCCTAGGATGCAGCCAACACCCCCACACCCACATCACAACCCACTCGCCCATCAGCACATACAGGTTCAAGAGAGCCTTCAGTCTCCCTCTTTCCTTCTCTCTCTAGTTTCTTCAGAGTTGATTTTGGGTAAAGGAGTCAACAGCTGGGACTAATTTGAGAGGAAATGGAAACTATTTTCTTTGTCAAAGCTGTAGAACTTTTGCTCAATTTCAACCACTCCTAATCCAGTTCAGAAATGTGAGGCAAGCAAATCAATGAAGAGTTAAGGTTTGTCGTAATTTTTAATAACTGGGATCCCTTACTCTTCTAAGTTTTCTAGAATACATTCACGTAAAAAATACTTTATCCAGGCTCAGATGAAACTGGGTACAAATTATAAGATACATATTATCTTGTATCTAAAAAATGCAGTTTATTCAGTTGATAGCTAGATTAGATTTCATACAATGGATAAAAATAAAAGCATAGGGAAAAAAAGAAAGAAACCACATAGACAAATGTCCTCATGAAGAAAAACATGAAAAAAAGGTACAGCTATGAATATGAAGTATGGGAGACACTATGCACCTCATAAGAGGCTCCTAACAACCACGATACAAGATAGGTAGAGGAAACTAAGCACAGGGAGAAAAATGGAAGAGAGGAGAAGGCAAGAATCTGATTAATGGAGAAAATAAAAAAGAGAAAATATCCATTAAGAGAGGCACAGAGACCAAGTAAGATAAAGTTTGCTAGTATTTTATTTGTCCAATTCCATCTACGTAGAGGTAAAGAACTTGATTATTCTACAATGCTATGCCCTATCTAGCCAAGAACACTGACTGAGCTCAAATGACATAAAAGTTATGAGAAATCTAAAGCTCGTTCTTTTGATTTTCAGAGTTTATGAATCCACCCACAAATAGCGATAGAGAACATAAGTATGCTATGTCTTTACCGGCACTGAATACCAAACAGTCTACTCTCCAATTCCTCTAAAAAACACATTTGAGTCCTCTGGTGACTATTGGAGTGAGAATGTAGCTACCCTATTTCCCACTCTGAAATGCACAAAATGTACCAAGAGAAACAAACTTTTTTCACATAAAATAAAACTAAGGGATTGCTAACCACCCCAAACCACAGATTATGAAGTATTGTATCAAATACAATATGATTTGGAACAAGTTGATAATGAATATCACAAGCCAATAGAGTCCTCTACATATCTAAGCAGTGTTTGATTTCTCTGAATTTAATGGAGAAGATCCTAATTATTTAAACAAAGATAAATTGGGGTGAAAACAAATCATAGGAGAGAGAGCAAATATTCCTCTGAGGGTACATTTCCATGTGGAGGAGTGGCAGGGGAGATGGGGATAAAGAAGAGACTGTATGTACATGCCATCTTCATTTTTCTCTCACTTCTGAATCAGAGAACCTATGAGGGGGAAAGGAGAGAATATGGACAAAAGAAAGAAAAACGATCCTTGTAGTGATTATCAGCATTAGCTGAACAGAGAGAAACAAACATCAAATCATCAAACCAAGTTACGGTGAGAGCCACAGTGTACTCCTTCCTGGGAGATATATTCACCCAAAGGAAGGGAGAAATGGTTCTGCATCAGATAAAAGAGATGTCTCTGTAAGAAAGCATCCTGAGACAAGGAATGTGAACTGAATGTTCCAGACACCCCACACCACACCCTCCCCCTCACCACCACCACCACCACTACTACTATAAATAATAACAAAAATAACTAACATTGAGCTCTTACCATATTCTAGTCACTATTGGAGGAGTTTTACAATTATTACCTCTTTTAATACTCAAAACAATCTCAATCAGGTAAGCACTCTGATTATCTCCATTTTACAGATGAGGAAAATGAGGTTCAGAAAAGTGTGATAGTTAATTCTAGGTGTCAGCTTGATTAGACTAAGGAATACCTAGAAACCTGGTAAAGCTATCTTTTTGGATGTGTTTATAAGTGTGTTTCCAGAAGAGATTAGCATGTGGGCCTGAGTGGACTAGGTGGGAAAGATCCGACCTCAATATGGGCAAGAACCATCCAATCTGCTGGGGCCCTGGAGAGAACAAAATCGGTGAGAAAGGAGAATTGCACTTTGTCCACTGGAGCTGGGATATACTCTGTTCTCCTGTCCGTGGACATCAGAACTTGAGACTCTTCAGCATTTGGGTTCCAGGACTAACACCAACAGCACCATCAGCCTCCCTGGTTCTGAGGTTTTTAGAATTGGGCTGAGCCACGGTATCAGCATACAGTTTGCAAACGGCCTACAGTGGGATGACTCAGCCTTCACAATCATGTAAGCCAATTCCCCTAATAAACCCCCTCCCATATATTTATATACATATACTATTGGTTCTGTCTCTCTGAAGAACCCTGACTAATACAGAAAGGTTAAGTAAATTTCCTATAGTCATATAGCTAGGAATATAAGACCCAGAATTTGAACCCAAGCAGTACAGTCTTAAAGTTAGGCTTTTAACTGTTATTCTGTATTACCTCTCCCATATTAATGTTAAATAATCAGAAGACCCTGAAAGTACACAGGATTTTTTACTTACACAGTAAATATTTGCGTACCTTGTATGGTAAGCTCTGCTTGAGTGTCAATTGTCTCATTTCCATTATCAGCTATACAAAAATAAGTTCCAGCATCATCCTCAGTGACATCACTGATCTCCAGACTACCACCTGCTAGCAGTACCAATCGTTCAGAGCTGCATAAAAAAATATAATACATTTCAGTACTAGGAAAATAATACCTGAGAAACACTCCACATAAAATAGAGAAAACACTTAAATAGTATTATTATGTACACTGCTACAGATACAGAGACTAACATAAAATTGTCAGAATTTAATTTAGTACAATTTGCTCTGCTTAAATTTTACATGCATAAATACCACAAATACAAATCAAATGTTACAATGAATTGTCTCTGATACTTTGAGTTATTCCCTAAGGGATATATCACTTTTGTGACCAATTCCACTTCCCCTAGCCCATCCCTGTCTCCCTACTCTGGCCAGTTGTTTTGCAAATTACGTAATTTTGAAGTTTGGAATCAATCTGAGAGTCACTTCACCATAGCTATGCCACATTGAATTAATAATATAAAGAAAAAGGGCCGAGCCTGTGGCGCACTTGGGAGAGTGCGGCGCTGGGAGTGCAGCGACGCTCCCGCTGCGGGTTTGGATCCTATATAGGAATGGTCGGTGCACTCACTGGCTGAGCGCGGTGTGGGCGACACCACACCAAGGGTTGCGATCCCCTTACCGGTCACGAAAAAAGACAAATAATAATAATAATAATAATATAAAGAAAAAATAAAGAATGCAAAATGTCAGATCAGGAACAGTAAAGTCACGGGATCACAGTGCCTACTGAAAGTTTCCTATGGTGACTTGACTAGGAAAGGGAGGATAATATAAAGAAAAAATAAAGAATGCAAAATGTCAGATCAGGAACAGTAAGTCACGGGATCACAGTGCCTACTGAAAGTTTCCTATGGTGACTTGACTAGGAAAGGGAGGAAAAGAGGAAGGTAAGGGAGAGAGAAGGACAGTTGCCAGAGAGCGCAGCTTCCTGGGTGTGGTGGCTGCACCATCATGCCATTATCAACAAGAACGTTGATGAATACCGACCTAACATTACAGAGTGATTTAAGTCTATTTAAAGAGAAACTAAAATAATCATACAACATTGAGAAAGAAGTCACAAATCAATATTCTGATCAAATTTTTATAAAGGGAACAAGTTCAGTTAATTTTGGAAGAGATACAAACAAAATCAAACATGCAAAGGTACCTGACATAAAGCAAGGAATGCAATTAATTCTAGGGACAAGTGCATAATTAAAGCTGCCACTCTGAAAGTCACTTGCATAGATGACATAAATTCAAAATACAGTACCAAACACAATAGTAAATGTACACATGTGTATTTTTATTTTGAAGTTCTATGTCTAATGGTTTTTGTAGGCTAGATTTTTCTCCCAAATCTTAATATTGTTACATTTCCAGTTTGTAACTATGCTCAACAAAAAGTATTGTGTTTATAATTTAGCTTTCCAAATTCCTTATAGGGAAAAAAATCAGAGGAAATGACTAATCTCTACCACATTTATAATCCTAATTCTAAAAGTAAATAAAATGCTATTCAAGCTTAAATTTCAGTATACTATAAGTCTAGGTAATTAGTCTTCCTGAATCTGATAAACAAGATTAAATTTCTGGACACAGAAAGCTGAAAACCAGGATCAGGTTTGGTGACTTCTACAAGAAATAACACCCTGAAAGGTCATGACTAAACCTTACCAAGCGACCTTCCTATCTGAAATGTCTCAATTATACCTTCAAATTGCAACTTTATGCAATGTAAACAGAGAAGCAAGATAACATAGACTAGGCAAGAATGACTGGGATAAAATAAATAGATAAGACATGGTTTTGGTGCCTCACAAAATATAAAAGTTTTACTAAAATTAAAATCCTACATTTTACACTTGGACAAAATCACTACTAAGCTTCAGAAATGGAAAATTTTAAATGTTCACAAATGAGAAACCAGCAATATATACTTATGATACCCAGCTGAGATGAACATAATTTGAAACACTAGGTGGTATAGTATTTTTGAAAGTGATATACAGTAATTTTTATCTAATAATTACACTAAAAATAGTCCTGATACTTGCCATGCCTGATATTTGGCATAACTGAGTGCCAGTACAGCAGTAGTCAATATTTCTTAATTAGGTTGATTTTACTCCTGCCTTAGGTTGAATGTTCCCCCAATACTTAATTCCCACGTAATTGTTTAAGGTGGGAAATCCTATCATGGTAATTGAACGGTGGGGTTTTGGAGAGGTGATTAGATTGTAGGACCAAACCTAGTGAATGAATTAAAAATGGTGGTCAGGGGTGTGGTTTGGAGGGCTTTAAAAGGACTGTGAATGAGGTTGCTCTCTTGCATTCTCTCTGCTCCACCATTTTCTGCCATGTGAGACCACTGCACTGCTGTAAAGCCACCACCCAAGGCCCTTCTCCAGATGTATTCACTACCCTGTGAACTTCCCAGGCTCCGAAACTATAAGCAATAAATTCCACTTTCTTACAAAGTACCCAGTTCCAAGTATTTTGTTATAAGCAACAGACTAATACAGCTCCCTTTAAAAGAAGCCTGGGAGGAACAATGTCCATTTGCTTTGCAGAATTCATGTAACTTCTTCATTGCTCATAGTAAAAAGACAATCAAGCCTAGAACTCCAAAATTCAAAGGTGTAATCAGAGGGAACAATACGTAAAAAAGCATGTGTGATCAATGGGCCCAAGTTAAGCTCAGCGTTGCTGGACATGAGGGGGGTGTGTGTCCCTACACAGCTTGGGGTCAGTCTGGAAGAGCTTGGTGTGCTAACAAGACCTATTTTTTTTGGCCAAAGGGATGGCTTTAAGCAGATAAAGGACACAATCAAATTTTGTGAAGAAACAAAAGGAGAAAAGACTAGAAGCAGAAGTTTGATTATAAAGTTATTGTAGTGGTCCAGAATTAAACAGCAAAAGATTAACTATGGAAGTAACAAAGAGATTTTCTACACAGACAAACATGTTATCTGCAAATATGTCCTTCACTGAAACCTCCCTAGCCAGGAGGGGTAGGAGTGCCTCATTACTGTTCCCTCCCTTGGTGTCCGCTGAGGAGGGCCTTGCTACTACATGGTTGTAAAGTCCTGACTCTCCACTAGGCCTCCTTTGATACCAGCCCCGTGAAAAGGGAAAGGGGTGCGTGCCTCTTACGGCTGGAGGAGTGAAAGTCAAAGCTCCCCATGAGTTCTCCACTGACACAGGAAAGGAGCCTCATAAATGCCTGGTAGGATGAAAACCTTGCTCCTTACTCAGCCTCTGACACCATCCAGCAGGCAGAACTGGGCACCTCATCACAACCTGGCAAGGGTGGAAGTCTAGGGTCACCACTTGGCCTTTGTGGGAATGGTGAGGGTGTAGCCACAGTTTCTTCTGTGTTGTCTGGATGGAGGATTATAGTCTAACAGTTTTTGTCTTTTTAGGCTGCCCCTTTCCTGGTCCTTTGGCTAGAGAAAGCACACTTTTTGGTGCCTTTTTTCTTGTATGTGCCAAGTTGTTGGCTTCAGCTCCAAGTCTGGGATATATGAAGCAAAACAAATCCCAGGAAACTAACCATCATGTTGTTCCTTGGGTCCTAAGGTCCCTAGCCAATCATCTTCCTCACTCTACCTTTCAGAGTCTTCTTATATTTATTTTATATGTAATGTCCAAGGTCTTTAGATGTATTTAGCAAAAGAAACAGGGAAAAGTACATCTACTCCATATTCCTGGAAGTGGAAGTCTGTATTAGCCCATTTCTGTGGCTTATAACAAAATACATGGAACTGGGTAATTTATAAAGAAAATAAAATGTATTGCTTACAGTTTTAGAGGCTACGAAGTCCAAAGTCCAGGGAACATATCTGGTGAAGGCTTTCCTTGGAGGTGACTTCTGTGATGGCAGGGTATCCTATTGCAAAAACGGTGGAACAGAGAGAGCAGACATACTCCCCTCTCTCTTCTTCTAAAGCCCTCAGAACCACGCCCCTGACCACCATTTTTAATCCATTCACTACTGTACAGTCCTACAATCTAATCACCTCTTCAAGGCTCCATCTTTCAACTACCATAATAGGATTTCCCGCCCTCTCACCAGTCACAGTGGGCGCCAAGTTCTAACACATAAAACTTGGGGGACACAATTCAAGCATCAGTGAGTTTGGGGGAGACATAATCCACTACAAAGTCCTACATTTGATTTTTAAAGTAAACAAATTTTTCTACTACTGTGAATTGTAATAACATCAAGTATTTTTGTAATTATAATCTGTTCCTCTGCAGTTGGGTTCAGATCTATCATTCCACTAAAAAAATTATTTAATTACTAAATTACATTTTGCTGTCAGTCACCTTGAACATTAGCATTTATACTTTCTGGATTCTGTCCTTTTAAAATAGAACTACTGAATGAATGGGATACATTTCCAACCCCCTCTTTCATTAGCTGTGTTTATTTTGGATCTAAACAAATTTGATCAAAAATCAAATAAACACATCAATTCTTAGACATTTATAAAAACCATGATAATGTTTTCAAATATTCCTTTTCAAAGAGGCCTTAAGATTGCTAATAGAGAAGGATGTCTGATTATTTAAGATTGTTTTTTTTTTTTTACTAGACCCAGCCCAGAACTATCTGGATTTCTAGCCACTTTTTTTTTTTCAATTTCCAAATCTCTCTCTAATTTGGGGTCTAAATAATTTATTAGCTAAGGTCCATCTATACCCCTCTTAAGGCTCTGACAGAAACAAAGATATTTTAAGTCATTATCTACACCCAACCTGAAGCACTCCTGTATTCTATTAACCTACTTATATTTTCCCACATTACATTCAGTCAACCAAAATATATTGGTCACTACTCCTCTTCCCTTCTTATGTGCCAAGCACTGTGCTAGGGTCTGGAAAGATCAAATGTGGACAACATCAATACTGTTCTGCTCTTATATTCTTCTGAAGCTTCCTGAGACAGTGACATACCAAGGCAGTACTTTTCAGATTTTTCTACCACATAATCCAAGTATTCAGGAGCCTAGAGAAATAGAGGCAGAAAAAAGTCGACTCAATCTTCAAAGTCTCCCGATTCGTCCTTAAACTCACAGGAATATTATTAACCATAATATATCCACATTTGATTTAATTAAAAACCATTTGCCCTAAAATACATCTTTGAATAAAATTAGATGTTCCAGAAAAATAGGTAATTTTTCTACCATGTATTGTATATCCTGGCCCACCCAAACCCCAGCCTGAGAATCACTTTACTAAGAGAACAATTCTCTAACACTCTATATGAAATAGCAATACTACCTCTAACTCTCTTGGTATCCCTGGCATACTCTGCCTTAATTTTCTTCCTAGCACTTATCATAACACTTTATATGTTTATTTTATTCCCCACTAGACTCTTCCCCTCTAGAATATAAGCTCTACAAGAGCAAGAACACTCTATTCCCAGTACCTAGCACAGTGCCTGACATAGTCAGCATTCAATAAATATTTGTTGAATAATTATTGAACAAATGGGAATCACAAAAATCCTTTTATTTCTTATATAAAAATCATTTCATCTATATCTTTTATATCTTCAGAATGTCCTTCTATGATTATGAAATATAAAAGTTTTTAAGTAACCTATTTCAACTTTCCTATTCCTGATATTTTGTTCTAACATGTAGCCAATTAAAATTTCTGCTCTGGGGCCGGCCCGGTGGCGCACTGCTATAGTGCGCCGCTTGGGAGTGTGGTGGCGCTCCCGCCGAGGGTTCAGATCCCACATACAGACCGGTTCCCGCTCACTGGCTGAGCGAGGCGCGGGAGCAACACCGAGGGTTGCGATCCTGTTGCCGGTTCGGTACGGGGGGGGACACTGAGGGTTGCGATCCGTTGCCGGACATGGAAAAAGACAAAAAGGAAAAAAAAAAAATTCGGTACGGGGGGGGACACTGAGGGTTGCGATCTGTTGCCAGACATGGAAAAAGACAAAAAGGAAAAAAGGAAAAAAAAAAATTTCTGCTCTGAGCTTGAAATTGTTATCCCCATTTTTAAGGTTCCCCATGTTTCAGTTAGCAAAAGTTAAAAATTCCCCTTATGTCTTATAAATTCTTTGCATAATATTTAGCTGGGAAAGGGAGGAAGCAAAATATGGGCAGAAGAAGTTGGTGGATGGATGCGTGCTGAAAAAGAAATCAGGTGATACTGGGGATGACACCATCAGTATTGCTAATAAAACATGTGAGGAACAATCTGATCATATTCCATCATCTCCACTGATCACTGAAGGCTGATCACCTGGCTGACTAGTCTGCTCTCTTCTGATTACCAAATTGGGAAACTCAAGACCTGCTCTGCCCAAATCAATAGCTACTAGCCACATGTAGCTATTAACACTCGAAATATGGCTAGTAGGACTGGGGAATTGAATTTTTTTCTTTTACTCAATTTTAATTTAAATGTACAAGCTGAAGCAGTGTAAAATATTTTCCACTAAACACAAACTTTATTGTTTTGGTAGCATTACATTTCACTTTAACTGATACACGACATAAAATATTATTGTTGTATTCAGCAGTACACATGTACTTCTTAATTTTTTTTAACATAGCTACCAGAAAATTTTAAATTACCTATGTGGCTTGCATTCCATTTCTATTGGATAGCACTAACTCCAGAACAGTGGTCCTCAAATGGAGGCAATTTTGCACCCCAGAGGATGTCTAGTAATATCTAGAGACATTTTCGGTTATCATTAATTTGGAAGCGCTATTGGCATCTATTGGGTAGAGGCTAAGGATGCCAGAAAACACTTACAAAGAATGAGTTAGCTTTGCTTTGAAAATGAAAACATACCTAACTACCAGCAACATCACCACCACCACCCAAGTTCTCTCATGAGAATACAATTGAGAAAAATACCCATTACATAAGGAAATAATGAGGAGGGACAGAAGGGATGATAGGGGTGGCCTGTGTTAACAGAAACAGTTTTACTGGAAGATGGAGAATTTGTGATCATAGCAGAAAGCTGGTATGATTTTAAAAGAAAAAAGAAAAAGGATGAGAAATACTTTTTCTTATACCACTTAAGCAAAGGAAAAAACTAGTATGGGAAAAATCCGTATGAATGAAAAGATTCAGGCTAGTCAGGACCAGAAGCTCTTGAAACAATTTAGGGAAAGAGACTATGAAGCCTTAAGTAAACTGCAGCTCCAGAAAGAACAAATGGAATAATTATCCCTTAATATTTTGAAAGCACTGTTTTCTTTAAACATCCTAATCAAATACAGCATATAATCATATTTCAGGGATGACATATAAGCATTATGATGTATTTAAATAAAGTAGATTATCATTTTTTATTAATCAGTAGTCCTAAATAGGATTAGGCCAAGTCTCAAGCTAGGGCTGAAAAGGCTTTTAGGCAGACAGTTACCTTTCTGTGTCAAGTGCCTCTTCATTCTTCATCCATCTAATGGTTGGAGTAGGAAGTCCTGAAGCCACACACGGCAACACTGCACTCTGACCGATGACTTTGACTAAAGAGGAAGGTTGCTTCAAAAATACCAAGTTTGATGTTACCTCAGGATCTAAAAGAAATTTTAAGTAAAAAACAATGATTAAATAAAATCAAAGAACTTTATCACTATAATCACAAGGAATGGCTAATTCCTACTCAGTCTGTGTGGCTTTCTATGACAAAATACTTTAAGTAAGACAAAGAAATTCCATTTAAAGTAGCAAACATTTCTCGAATAATTTCTACATGCAAAGCATTGTGCTAGGCTCTTTAGAGGTCTTAAGATGTATAAGTTACAGCTCCTGCCTTCAGGGTGTTTGCTTACTGGTCAAATGAGGGAGATTTGCCATGAGTCTGCTTTACTTTATTTTTTATTTTTTTCCTTTTTTTGTCTTTTTTCATGTCCGGCAACGGACCGCAACCCTCAGTGTCATGCCTGTACTGGACCAGGACCGGCAACGGGATCGCAACCCTCGGTGCTGCGCCCGCCCCTCGCTCAGCCAGTGAGCGGGAACCGGTCTGTATGTGGGATCCGAACCCTCGGCGGGAGCGCCGCCGCGCTCCCAAGCGGCGCACTGTAGCAGTGCGCCACCGGGCCGGCCAAAGTCTGCTTTACTTTAAAAGACAATGTAAATGCCATGAGTGGTACAGCCAAGAGACTGAGCAAGCTCAGGACCCCTAGCATCCTCCCCACTCACAGGGACATAAGAAGTTTCCTTTCCTTCCCTTTATCTGTGTGTTATTTCTGAAAATCTTTCTGAGTTTCATCTCTTTAACTTGTTCACTTAGTCTGTCAATCCTTTGATTTTGTAATGGAGCAACCATATAGCGACCACTATATTTTTGTATCTCTTGCTCACACATTAGAATTAATACATGAGCACTTTATAGTGTTGTCCTCTTGTGGACATATGAAAAGGCCACACTCTTATTGGTAGAGATAGAGTTCTCTACCTAATAGGGTGATATTAACTTAATACTGAGTTTTGAGAAAAAAAAGAAGACAGTTCTCAGGCAGAGAGATGTGACTCCTATCCCCACACTCTTAGGAAAAGATAGCCATGGTAACAACCACCAGATCTGGCTTGAAACTTGTCTAAGTAATAACAGTTCTGTAGCCATGGTAACAAGTAAACATTGCCTAAATGATTAGTGGCAATTCACTTCAGTGCCCATGCCTTCGAAAGCCAACCAATGAGAGATAAGCTCAGGCTTTAAAAGTCAAGCAATTAGTGGCAGTCACTTGCTTCTACGGCTGACATTAATCTGCTCCCACCTCTGTAACCAACCACAAAATCTGCTTCTATGACTGACATCAACCCACCTCTGTCTCTTAACCAACATAACCCAAAACAATGTCTTCTCAAAAACTCTATAAGAGATCAGTAGTTAGCTTCGCTCAAGAAGGCTATATTTCACAAGCACAGCTCTCCTTACTAAGTAAGCAAAACATTCAGTGCTATGTTTTTGTTTCACATATTGAGTTGTATTTGACACTGCGAACCTTGTTTTCCTGGATCAGATTATGAGGATTAGCTTGAATGCTAACCCAGGTGTAGAGAAGAAATGTGACCTCTGCCATGTAAAAGCATGTCAGGAAGTAGGCTGAAAGACACTGCCATATGGCAATAGTTTTTTTTTTAAAAACCTTAAATTACTTAGACATATTTGATCAAATTTTGATAGAATCAATTAAACAAATCTGTAACAAATATTTATTGGCTTCTATGTGCCAGGACATGTTCTTGGCAGCAGACGAAATTCCTTGCTCTGGGTAAGCTTACATAGTAATGGGGGAAGAGAGATGACAAATAAGATATAGTATGTCAGATGGTGATATGTTATGAAATAAAATGGAAAAGGAAGAAGAAAACACTGGGGGTGGAAATCAAAGACTATTGTTTTAAACAGAGTATTCAGAAAGCTTCATTGATAAAATGATATTTGGGCAGAGAGGTAGGAGAGTGAACCAGGTGTAAATATGAGGGATGAAGACTGCAGGCAGAAAAAATGGCAAGTAGAAAGGCTCTAAAGTAAGAGCACATTTGGAGTGTTCTAGAAACATGATTTGGTCACAATCAGAGAGAGTAGGAGATGGGAGGAGAGAGGCAAGGGAGAGAAGTGGTATTAAGAACTCTGAATGACCTGGGAAACCACTACGTATTTTGAGCAAAGGTATGACAAGATCTAACACAGTCATGTGTCACTTAATGACAGGGATACATTCTGAGAAATGCATCCTTCCTTAGGTGATTTTGTCATTGTGCAAACATCATTCAGTGTACTTACACAAACCTTGATGGTATACCCTACTACAAACCTAGGCTATATGGTAAAGCTTACTACTCCTACATGAGTAATGCACTGCACTACAATGTTACGGCTATTACTAGGTGATAGGAATTTTTCAGCTCCATTATAATCTTATGGGACCACTGTCATATATGTGACCTGTCACTGACCAAAACATCATTACGTGGTGCGTGAATGTATATATTTTAAAATATAACTGGTTGCTGAGAATACACTGGGACAGGAATGACAAGGGTTGGGATGATGACAACAAAGAAAGCTGCTGCATTTTTAAAAAGTCAGTTCAAGGCCCACCAGGAACACACTTAACAGTTGCAGCTCATAACACTGGTCTCACTTGATAAGCCTAAAAAAGACTAAAAATGAGCTATGAGTAGTCATATGTAAAAACTCTGCCCAAACATAGGGATGGTCCAGTTACAGTCAGAAACTCGAATTTGAAATGAGAAACATGGAAAGAATCAGACACCTAGCAACGGGAATAAAAGCTGAAAGGCCATGAACATCAAGAGGCTAGAAGGACTATGAAGAGCTACAAGTTATGAGTAAGAAGTTACACAGTTGAGAAAAGATATAGAAAACCAATTATGAGGAAAGCCAGTAGGGGCAGAAAAAGTGAGAAAACACACGAAAAGGAAGAAAGACTAAAACAGGAGCTGAGTTTACATTAAAATGGGGAGCACCATAAAGATCCAAGAATTCTTCCTTGCCAGTGAGCCTAGAGCTGTCCTATTAACAGTTACCACCTTACCCATCCCTTATATGAACTACCCTGAGTTAGTTTCTGATTCTCACAAGTAAAAAGACCTGACTATAAAAATATCCTATTATGCGGAAGTAGCAGAAGACAGAGGCTTAACAAGAGACACAAAGCTAATATTCCTTTGACCAAGAAGAATGCCATTAGATAGTGAACACACTTTATTGCTTGATAAATTTCTAATAATGCATTCAACTAAAGAGTAGATCTTCCTGGCATATTTTCTTCTTTTTACCCCTGTAAGAAACTGAGACTCCTTTTGCTGACAGTAATATGTCACATCACTTATTAACAGTGTTCATTAAAACAACTTCTACCGGTTAATAAAACTATCAGTCCTGATAATGAGTTAATACCTGGAAGCACTTTCAATTCAGCTTCATCACTATACTTTGGTGGCCCACCACTTTCAACTATGCAGCGATAAAGTCCTCCATCTCCTTCAGTCACGTTGCTGATAACCAGCGTTCCACTTGCAAGTTTGATAACTCTATCATCCAGAAGAAGGGGCTGTCTGTTCTGTTCCCACCTCACGAATGGGACCAAATCTGCATTAACTTCACAATTCAGAATTGCACTGTTCCCAGCATAAACTGAGGAAGGTTCTGGTTGGCTGGTAAATCTTGGAAGACCTGGACAATAAAGGAAAAGAAGAAATAAAATGTAATTGAATATTACTTAAAAATGTAGTCATGGGAGCCAGGACCAAGTCAGCCCACGTGGCCACAATGTATGACAGAATCAGGGTTGAGAATCAGGTTGAGTCAGACTCTTCACAGTTAGAGAAGCAAGGTACCAATATGGAAAAGGAGAGGGTAGAGTAAATCCCATGGTCTAGAATGGAGGTATCAGTTTAAACTTACGGTTTTACATAATAAATATAAATATATAGGAATGTATAAATATACAGGAATGTATACATAAATATAAAAATATAAAAGTATGTATGAAATATGCATACATTTTATATAGTCATCACATATACATTAATTAAAATACTTATATATACATACATACCTATATGTTACCTAGCCCTGTCCACAGAAAAGGCCCAGAATCAATACCACTCCAGTCGCAATGAGTACATATGTTGACCCTATCTTGATTTCTAACTATTATTCTCCCCTACAAGAAACCAAAGCTTCTTGGAGAAATGGCTGATTCTAGGAGCAGAGTGGGGAAAGTACAAGATGAATCTGGAACATCTTATGACATAAAGTAAGGAACTGTCTAAAGAACAATGTGGACATATCAAAAGGACATGGAAGTTTCCTGGTTAAATATGGGATACTGGTATTAACCCACAGAATAAAACAAGAATCTCCAAGTTCATGCTAATGTAAACAAACGAACAAGTGGAGAATAAAAGGCTCGACCTCACTGAAATTATGGAACTAGAAAAAAATCACCATTTGTTAACTACTGTAGTAATAATTGATTCAGAAAAGAAATCTTTAATAGATGCTAAAACTAAAACTAGTAGGTGAAAATTTGACGAGCAACAGTGTACTTACAACATATCAAAGTACCTCTTCCCAAAACACTAATTAACAAAAGTACAGATACTTAACCAGTGGAATTAAGCGGAGAAACATTGCATAGACCACCTTAATCAAATAATGAAAGTTAACATCACAAGCAACAGAACAAAATACCACATGCTTTTTGGTATGATACACTGAGAACACAGCATTACTTCTGTGGACCTCCCAAAAATGCAAAACCTGAATCCATTCATAGAAGGAAATCAAACAAACCCAAAATGAAACAAAGAAAAACCGAGGACCTGTTTCATATCAAAAGAGTTTGAAAAGACACAACTACTAAGTGAAACATGTAATCCTGAACCAGAAAGCAGGGTGGGGAGGGACAGAGTTTCTGCTTCTGCTTTTTGCTATAAAGAACACTGTTGAGACAATCAGTAAAATCTAAATCAAATGGTAGTACTGTATTTAGGTTAATTTACTGATTTTGATATTTCTGTGGTTATTTAAGAGACTGCCCTTGTTTTTAGGAAATATATGCTGACATATTTATGTAGGGTTAATAGGGCAACATATCTGCAACCTCACTTAAGGTTCAGAAAAAAATACATATTTGGATGTGTGCATATCTGGAGAACAATAAGGCAGGTGTGGTAAAATGTTAACAATCGGATAATCTGGGTGAAGTTATGTGGGATTTCTTGGCTCTATTCTTGCAACTATTTCCTAAATTATTATTATTATTATTATTATTATTTATTTATTTATTTATTTTTGTCTTTTTCCGTGTCTGGCAACGGATCGCAACCCTCA